TGGTAATTAGTCGCCATCACTCCCCCCCCTCCCCTCGATCGATTATTCTCTCCTATTTTTAGCATCTATTGGCGGATACGTGAGGAAAATAATGAACTATTTTCGGACAATTAAAATTAAACTCAATACAACTCAATACATGGATTAATAATCAAACGCGACAATACGTACATAGGGTGTAAATTCGTTTCCTTATCAAAAATTAGAAATTGGTTAAACAAATGTTTAATGAAAATTTCTCGATTGCATTTTCATTGGAATAACAAGTGCATTTGCACGTAAACGAGAAATTATTCAGGTTCATGCAGAAAAAAAAATTAGTCTTAAGACTATATTTTCATATATAGCAAGAATATATGATATTGTAATCTTCATATAGAAAATTTGCAATCTTGAGTTGAGCAAAAGTAATGTTTGCACCAATACAAATTCAATCAAATCAAGATTAAAATTTTTAAGATTTATAATTCTCGTTTATGTATAAAAATATTTGTCTTGATTTAAAACTAATTTGTTCTGTGCATTTATTATCTTTTTTAAGAAGAATTTGATATTTGTTTACATAATATTTTCCATAATCGCAAAATGAAAATAAAAGTCGTTAAAAATCGTTTAAAAAATAAAATAGCTTTTGTTGAAATTTTTATAATTTTTCATATCGAAGATTAATGCATCTGAATTATCTGATCGAAAAAAAGAATTCTAATTAAATACAGTGTATACAAAAATCGTAGAAGAGGACGTCTCTCACGCTGCACAAGTGACGCAACCCTTTCACCAATGAGCGTTTTTGTTCCCTCTTACCCCAGGGGTTTAAAACCGAGACGCAGCATCTCCCTAAAAGTGATTCACACGCCACCGCGAATACGCTACGTCGCGCGCGTGTTTCGCATGTCATATTCTGCTTCCAGATATAATAACAACACAGTAAAAATATAACAATAGCCAGAGTAGACACAAAGACAGCCGCTATTTCCTCCGAAAAAATTGCACCTTCGTAATTCGCTCTCGGTACAAAAAAATAAAAAACTTTCTTCGGTTCAGAAAATTAAAAAATAATTAAAAATTCTTTATTTGAACAGCTTTTTCTGTTAAAAGAGACTATTCTACAATTCTCAGATTTCGAAAAGAAATTCGGGCCAAGATCGAGGGAGTTAAGCTCGCGACGAGGTGAATATTCGCATAGGGACGGGTGCGTACGGAAAGGGAGAGGATCACGCGGGGCGGCAAGGGAACGGGAAGGCGAGAGGG